TCGCCGGGCTTGAGTCTTATTGGAAGAGACTGTGAGGTAGCATTTCTATAGGGAGAGGTTGTTTGAGCACAGGTTTAAGTTTTGTGCTGGTGGGAAAAGCTGCTTAGGGCCTTTGTTGTCTTTGGGAGGCAGCGCCATCTTAGGGACGCCCTTCTGACTGTTGTCTGCACCCTTCATTCCCACCTTTTCTGTTTATTTGGGAGAAGGGCATCTTTATTTTTTCTGGCTGCTTCCTGCTGGATGTGGGCATTGTGGGGTGGTGAGGGAAGGGCACAGAACCTGTCAGAATAGGGTCTAGAGGTAGGCACTGAAGGAGAAGATTTTTGAAAGTTTCTTGTAAATGTAGAATGGTGACTTGTTCAGGCCATTCTTCCAGTGGGCACGAGGGTGGTAGTAACCAGCTGTCTTGGAGTAGACTGTGGAGGTAAATAGAGAACCTGGAAGAGAACATATCTAAAAGAAAAGTTAAGTGATGTTTAGGGGCAGCACCAGAAGAAGAAGCCAGGTGGGCCATAGGTAACATTGACAGGTGATGGTGGAGTTGAGGTTGTGAACAGGGGAATTTCTGATAGTGAGGGGAAATGAACAGTAGGATTTTGTGTGTAAGGGGTGGTAAGATTTTTTATGAATGGTCCTGCCGTTTTTGTTATTGTGAATAATGTTGCAATAAACATGTATGTGTAGAACCAACTGTGTTGTTAACTGAAAGACTGGATAAAAATGTGGTGTATATATATGATGGAATATTACGCAAACATAAAGGACAAAATTATGAACCTTACAGCAACTTGGGTAGATTCAGAGTCTGTGATATTGAGTGATTTATTAAAGAAACAAAGGGCTGAATGAAATTACTGGATTGTAGCTCCATAAAAGGAATAAAGTCATGCCTATATTTGGACAATTGTAGGCACTGGTTGATTATCTTTTTATATAAAACCTACAAGGCCTGAAGTTATTAGTATAACTTAAATAATAAACTTTAATTATTGTAGCTTTATTAAAAGTGTCGGCTTTTGCATTTTGGGACTATAATAGTGACCTGACAGATTGTTTTAGAGTATAATTTGAACTAGGCACTTAAGTAAATTTTACATAAAATTTGAAGAGAAATCCGAAAATGTTTGGAGACTTGCATTCAGAAAAGACTTTATTATGCCTAGATTGTTTATAGAACTTTTTTGTACATATATATTTTTTAAACTCTCTTTATACCATTTTTGGTGTGCTTATATCATTTTATTTTTGTTTTTTACCCCCTTTTAAAAAATTTTTTATAACTATCTACTTTATCGTAGGACAGAAATGTACCATATAAGATTTCCTCTTAGATAAATATATATATATATTTTTATATTCCTTTCTTTTTGTTTTCCTGCTAAAACCTTATTTGTATACCAACAACCTTTTTACATTTTTTCCTTCGCTTTTTGCTTTCCTTTTTATTTATTTATAGATAACCTTTTACAGTCATAATTTGAATTTACCTTTTAGTAACTTAGGTGAGACATTTAGTTTTTGGAACACCTTTAATTTCACTGGAGAGCAGTTTTTAGGAGGAAGAAGTTCAGTATGAGCACAAGGGCTAAAAACTTAGCCTTAGTATTAATGAAGAAATTAATTTGGACCCCAGCCACATTTATATAGACCCAAGGATTCTCTGGGTGGATGGCATACAGAG